ACTCACAGTCTCACTCACAGTCTCACTCACAGTCTCACTCACAGTCTGACTCACAGTCTCACTCACAGTCTCACTCACAGTCTCACTCACAGTCTCACTCACAGTCTCACTCACTCACTCACTTGCTCACTCACTGACTCACTCACTGTGAGTGAGTCACTCACTCACTCACCACCGCCGCCACCATCACCACGATCTCCAACTTCATCACCACCATCACCTCTCTGGACCCCAATGCATCTAGATCTCTAGACTTTCTGCTGCTACACCTCTAGACCTCACACAGACTGTTTGGGGTCTCTTGCCGCGATAGTTATTCTTCAAGGCCCTGCTTCAAATTAACTCCAAACTCTAGACTTCCCTAGGCTGGGTGTTCCATGTTCAGGGACCAAATCTGCCCCACTCATTTTACTGGTATTACTATGTATTACTAGTAATAAGGTGTCAAATAAACAAAACTCGGCATTGCGCATATGTTCAGGGAAGGAGCGGGTATGAGTGTCCATGTTTGCTATGCACAAAGCCTCAGCATGTTCAAAAAACAAGCCTTTAGTTGTGCACGGAGTGTAAGCTTCTTTTCAGTCTCCATCTCAATTCTGCTAGGCAAAATACTCCTTACACCCAAGCCTCTTGTTCACCTTCTACAATCACAGCCTCCTGCCAGTCCTGGCGCACATTTACGCTGCAAATTTCAGGGGTTGGACTCCTTTTGAAACCGACGCTCAAAAAGAAACTCCATTGGAATCCAGTGGAATCTCCGTTGAAGCGGCATGTCATCTATGACGGCACCCCGTCATCTTGTTCTTCGTCTTCTTCTTCTGGATCTCTCTGTCGTCGTCCAGTGAAAAGCTGGCGGCACAAGCAGTCACAATGGCAGGTTGCACCAGGCTGACTTTAAATGGATGTGTTGCAAAAACAATGAGGGACCCTTAATTGGAAACAAACTCTGAATCTAAATCCTAGTGGGTCTCAGTTGAGACTCACCTTTTATCAACACATGGTGCAATCCACTGGCATGAGTATCACAATGAAGATGAACTGGCACGAGGCCGGCCCAAGTGCGAACATGTTTTGTACCGTTTTGGATCAACGCATTAGAGCATTATTGGTCCCAGTCTAAGGGCGAGCAGTGTCGTGCGCACTGATCGGATTCCTTTGAAAACATGTGGCAGCGAAATCTCTATTAGGTTGGAGGCTATTGCTCTTAGGTTGGAGGCCATCGCTATTAGGGTGGAGGCCATCGCTCTTGGGTTGGAGGTGGCGTGGAGGCCATCGCTCTTCGGTTGGAGGCCATCGCTATCAGTGCCTCATAGACACTGGAGAAAGCATCTGAGCTTTCCTGCATGTCTTGCACTCTTTCGAAGCCATCCCTAGAACTGAAGAAACTGAAGATACAGCCCTACCTCCCTGTATTTCTACTATGCTTTGATAAGGCAACTACAAGCCTGGACCTGAGAATACTACCCTGTATTTCTACTATGCGGGTCCTGCACGTTCACCAAGACTCGTGAAGACTTGCCCTTCTTGGGCGCCTGGGAGGGTGTCCCATCTGGTACTCAAACTCCAAAGTGTTTAGTGTGGGTGTCCTAGTGTTTAGTGTTTATACGGATGATGGTGCCAAAACTTGTCTGCCATCATTGTCATGGACTAGGTGTCAGCAGGTGTTCATCCGTCTAGATTCTAGATAAGACAAAGACCCAAACATCAATGGACTCCTCAAGATGCGAATCGTGGTCAGCCACGTCATTCTTGATCGGTTGGGCACCGCACAAGGTACAGCCACTCTGCGAGGCGGGTGAGGAGCGGCAGCAAGGCTGGCGAAGAGAAGAAAAGTCGATTGTGACATGGCTGAGAACGTGAAAAGACCGAAGGCACCTCAAAACAATAGAGTAGAATGAGTACTGGACGTTGAATTGTTTGATATTGCGGAACTACCCCAAAACCCAATTCAGGCTAGAGACCAGTTTTGCAAATTCATTGGAATGGATTTGGAACCAACCAAATGCAAATGTGAAAAGCTAAAACATCACAAATTGGAAAGCCTTACTGGACCCAACACCATTCTCACACCGATTTTGAGACTCACACCTGGACGCTGCGCCTGGTCCTGGCCGCCAAAAACAACACAGGTTGATACGGAAATACACAGAGATGCAACAATACAGGATTCGTTAGGTACCAGATGGTACCAGTACGGTCGGGCATAATTCGCACGGCCATTTGGATTGCTGGCAACACATGGAGGCTGTATGAAAACCCCTCTAGCTTACCCTACAACACTTTTAGCTGTGTCGATGTTTTGTCCTCATCGTTTTTGATGGCTACTTTCTTGTCTTTTTCTTGTCTTTTTCGCTCTTGGTATAATAATCGATTGCTATGTACATACAAGCGAAAAGACTGCAACACACGCCCTACCAGTATCCTCAGAGTAGAGTCCCTCGAAGTCCCCAGCAGCTTCTGCAACCACATCACCTTACCATACAAAGAGTCTAATCTTTCAGATCTAATTCGTGTTTCGTAACATGGTCAAAGCGAAGAGGATGATCCAGGATGATCTACTGTTCAAGTTCTACTACTGAGGCTTTAGCAAATGCCTGCTTCCAGGAAGAGGATTCTGGCCTGGACGATGGGGATTGAAACTCTGCGTCCGATCAGGATATCATTTCGCAAATCTTCGGCACTCCGGGCACTTTTGAACTCAGTAGAACCCTTGCAACACAAGCTCTGTGTATAAAAGCCACTTGAAGCACCTGTTGTGACTTGCCGCATAATCCCAATATTCTTTTGGCTGCAACCTGGCCATGCGAAATCCACCAACTCAGCTTTCGCTAATACAAGTAACTAGCATTGGCACACCGCGGAACGGCCAGGATCCGGATCTTTCAACATCTGAAGATCTTGTTGACAAGTTTGTGCCTTGGGATGCGTTGTCGTTGCCAAGAGCAGAAGAAAGCAACATAGCCAGAATCGAGCACACTGTTCCGGAGATTGGGCATTGAAGAACTTACAAATCCTATATGAAGGTGGCTGCAAAAGAGAAGCAAAGCTAATCAATGACGGACATCAGTATGCAGTATGCAGATATGTTTTTGCTCGGAGCCCGGCTGTTACCTGTCCCAGCTCAGGCGCCTTGCACACAAATACTCAGACTCATGTAGAATCACCCAGCATCTGTGTGTACGATTCTCGATTTCACCGAACTCATGTTCAAAATTCCCAAAATCCTTTGTCAGGTCTGTCAGGTGATATAACCCGACCCTACCTCTGTACACTTTTCGCAAAGGAGGAACGCAGTCCGCGGGCAGAAGTATGCAATCTGCCGTGATTCCTGGCAGGCGGGCGCACGGGCCATGCCTTTCCCAACGGTGGTGTTCCTCATCAACTTGCTTGCATATAGTATCATACAAGTTAAGTACACTGCACACAAACTCAGTCACAGGACAGTACAATACCTACATTTGCATGGAAGAGTACGTTGGGCCAAGCTCTGTTGCTGCTCTATATAAATATATAAATTGCAAACTGAAAGAATTGTGCCCAATATGTGTCTGTCAATCTTCATCTGACTTGTTCGACCTTGTTCGGTTGTGGAGATTATTTGCAAACAAGGTTCTGAACGTCTGTATTGGATGCTGAAGAATGACGCTGATCACTACAAGTACATTGGCCTATTGCAAATCTCCTGAAACATCTCGTATGAGGAAATTCACTGTCCGTGCTGCATCTTGCACACTTCTTCTCAGCACCCAGGAAGAACATATACTGTCTATATATGAGCCGCCGCATCTATTCCTTACTAAACTCAAACACACTATCATACATTATCTATTATTGGGGGCCCTATCTCGTTTAGAATTAGCTACTTAAGTAGGAGGTCATGTCACATAATATGTCACAGTATCTCGTTCAGACTGCTTAAGTGTCATCAAAAAAGTATCTCGCTTATGTGGGGGCCCTATCGCGTTCACCAGCGAATACTGGTGTTGGACAAACAGTTAGAGAGAGAGAGAGAGCGTGCTGTAGACTGCTTTGGCAACGAATGAATAAAAGTCGTTGCTCATATGACGATGAATGAGCGACGTCAAACAAACACTCCTCCCCTACAAAAATGCAAGAAAACAAATGCCACAAAACAAAGATGTCATGCACAGTACTGCAAGATACTGCAAGTGTTCGGTCCACTGATGAGTCTATTAGAGAAAGAACTGAACATATCTCCGCTGCATGGTTGGAATGGACATGAATGGCCAATGTTTTGCCGACAAAGCTGCGGGCCTTTGATTGCCAACCTCTGCACCCACCGGGCCTTGGCTGAGCATTGAATCAGTCAATTCATATTAAATTAAATCATGATTTGCCCACAAGATGTGTTCACCCCAATCATCATCCAATCTTGGCCTTGGCAGATTGAAAAACTATCCACATCACATCAATGCTCAATCAAGAGCTGTTCCCCACTCCGCTATTTTAGAACTGATTCCGCTTTTTTAGAACTGACTTAATTGGACAAACTCAGACTCCGGCATGCACTCATCTGACGAGCACCGCACTGGCTCCCCAAACAAGGTGCCACGCAGGCCGTAGGGAAAGCAAACCCTGTGCAAGCCTTGACCGCCCAATGGATGACCGAGATGGCTAATGGACGCTGATCAAAACCTCTACGCTCTTCTTCCGTGTCACATGAGCCCCTGAAAACTGCCACATGACCGCCAAGTAATGCATACGCGATAGGTATTCGCTGCCACAGTGGTTCCATAGGCGGTCCCGTGGCCGGTGGCCTTCCGGATAGCAAGGATGTCTGAAAAGCTCGAAGGCCTAACAGAGTGTCACGGACAGCGGGCTGGCCACGCGCCAGCTAGCTGGAGGTCAACTCGTTTGTGGCTTGGTTGGCCTCGATTCTAGTGGGCTTGAGCTTGCTGGAGGTGACCTCCAACTCTTGGTCAGGGACCTCCTCCATTGGAACCTGGCACATTTAAGATGTAACGCAGCGACTAAGGACCATGGAGAAAAACTGCAAGGCACACGTGAACACGAACTTTGGAATCGCCAAGGGTCTCCAAGACCACGGCGTTCAACCATTTGGTCCCATGTTGCAACTTGCACATGGCCTGGGTCTATTTGCGACACGTCATCGCATGAGTGCGAAGTCGAAAATAAACTTTCTAGGCTGCACTACTTGCAGTACCAGTTCAATTTGTACTTTCTCAAACCTGACATGGAGGCCTCCGAAAATGGAATATACTGCGCTCATGTTGCAAGATGAACATTTCAGCTCTTCTGTTATAATCTATTGAAATTCTCTTGGACACTCTATGCTGAGGGCGCGGCTCCCAAGCGCAGGGATGCTTCAGCAACTGCTTGTGCTTCACCTTAACGATTTGTGCAATCTGTATGGTTGGTGGAGGAACAACAGGCTTGTTCCTTTTGAACCAGGCTGTCCATCATGCACAAGCAAGCACTCTTGAATGCGAGGCATGCAAGCCTAAACACTATGCTCCTTCGCAGCTTTCCTTCATATTCTTTCCCTGTGCTCCTCAATGCTGAGGCCAATGCCATCTTCACTCCGCTTTTGTGGGGTCGATACCTGGTATGGCCTCAAACGCCAAGTTCGCGACGGCTGATTTACTCAGGCTTCATGGGGCCATCTACTTGTGATCCCAATGAAGAAGGATCAATTTAGCATCAGGTGAACATGCTTTGCCATGCCTTTGCCAAACAGCGAAGTCTAGGCTGCTAACTGGCTGCAAACACCACAGAGGTAGAACTCGCACGCTTTGCAACCCCAGCCACCAATCTTTTCGCCTGGAACTGAACGAACCAATCTTGAGAATACGAGTTCAAAAGAAGAGGAGACCATTAGAGACACGTTTCTGGCTACCATGCTAGGTTGCCAATGGACCCTGACAGAGACCTTTTTGCACGGTAAGCATTCCGCCAACAATCCTTTGCGTTTGCAGCACTATGAAGTCATCCAACGACTCATTTACTCAATGGGACTACAACAGCTCCATCGAGTTGACATACCCGTCCAACAAACTTGACCAAAGCGCAAAGCTACATGACGCATGCTTGCTCCTCTGGGTCCAGTCCCGGTCCCAGCCTTTTGGCCCGGTCAAAAACGCTGCCAAGGCCTAGATGCAAACAATGCTTAAGCTCACCGATTGCAGCCAGTCCCGCAAGATCAAACTCGATGGACATTGGGGTGCGGCATTGGCATCATCCTGAACCGGAGGACCAGCTTAAAGACCGCACAATTACTCACAAGTGATAGAGACCACAAATAGATACAATTAGTACTTAGTCTCATACATGCTGAAACAAAGCCAAGCAACATTGTCACATCGTTGAAACAGTGAGTGAAGTCTGGTGACAAAAAAATCTAAGGATACGCTACGATGCTACGATCACTTTTGACGTGAAACTTTTGCCCTGAGAACGGCACCTCCTGGTCATCAGCCGTCTCCTCAACCTGCACAAGCAGTGAGGTCTTGGCTTCTTAGAACAACCCCCATCTGCTACTGAACGAGAGGTTCTCTGAAGTGAATCTCACAAGCACCTTGTTTCCTTCGAACGAGCGCCGGCAGACTGCCTGCAACAGCCGGTCAACTCCGCTCAACCATAGAAGCAAGTGTTTGTCTGATAATATTGTGCAATCATGATGGTTAGTAGGGACGCTAATAGTGATAGAGTTTTTCTGACTGTTTCGTTCCGATGGTAGGCAAAACATGCAGCGGAAAAACACATGTGAACAGAAGGCACTTGAGCGGAGTTTAGATTCAATGTGGTGGGCAGGCCACATCAATCCCCATCAATTCATCAACGCCCATCTGGCACTGATCGTGTGATTGCTGTGCATCTGCTCGTGGCGCCAAGTCACACATTGGCCCGAAGTGTCCAGTCGAACCAAACTGTGTGGATGGAGATCAAGCCTCAGGGTGTTCAAATCGTCCTCATGTATGGCCTTCCACTTCGACTGATCCTTCAATCTGGGGAACCCTCGCAAAGAAAGTGTTCAAAGTAAAAGTACACGGGTTGACAGTCACGGTTGACACACAATTGATGTGGTTACAATGTGTTCTTTCCATGAAATTCCTCGGAAATATCATGGGGGTCCCAATTGGTAAAAATAATCAAAGCCCAACACAACCATGCACTGGGGACTCAGGCATTGGGGATCTCACCTCTTCCATTGCGCACAGTTTCGTCCATCTTGACAAAACACAGTTTCATTTCAGCTACATTTCCTATCCCTTCTCCTGTCTTTGTCTTGGCCTTGCAGCTCTACGAAGACACACACCGGGAGATTCCTCCAAGTGGCACAAAGAGCGGCGGCCCTGTCTGTGCATTCAGGTGCTCAGCGATTAGAGCTGGTGGGTAGATGTAAGGCCGCCTCAGTACTCGGCAAACTTCGAACATGTCGCGGACTCAATCAACTTGAGCCCGATCTCTCCCAGTGGTTTTATATGTCTTTTCAAATCGTATGTGTATCGGATTACTTGTTGATCAATTTATTGCGCTTTCCTGCAAAACCAACTACCCACTAGGGTACGACGCCTCGAGGCGCCGGTGGTACAAATGAAGGTCTTTCCGAAGCGCCGTGGGGAGGGCACTCGAAAGTGAAGTGACCCAAAATGGGTCGTTTGCACGTGCCCTTTCCCATCTGCCGCATGTCACTTCCAGCAACAGCGCCAACTCTTGTCCTGTGACATCGCCTCTTGCTCTCATGTTCTGTCTGGCTGGTAGACGCGGCGTTCCGTTGCATTCATACAGCCAACACCTTTCTCTTTGGTTTGTCTCTTCACTTGCTTTGGCATGAAGCGTTTCACAGAGCACCAAACTGCAACAAAGCACTGTGTGCATGCAACCTGTACTCTTGTAGCTAGAACAGACCGAGTGAGAGGCTAACGATTAGGGCCCAAGGTGCAGCATAAGGTGAAGTCCAAAACAAGATCTCGAGGAAACGAATGCAAATGAAGAGGTCAGAGACGTCAACAGTGGAAAAAGAGACCAGACAGGATCAAACAGAGGAGAGACACGAGCCAAAGGCACAAAATCACATGCAAAAGAGACAGCGCGGCGTCAATGGAGAGTCGCATGGGAAAAAAGCTGCGAGCCAATGTGCACACATGGACGACATGACCGCCTTCCAAAAATGAAGAAAAGTACCCTCTACCGACAAGGGACGAGCTTCCCCCCCCACCTTTTCCGCCCCCACCAAAGAGAGGCATTGTTCTGGAGGGTTTTCACCTGGCGCCAAAGGCGCCGGTGTCATGGGATGTTATGGGCTTGCCTACCTACCCGCATCACCCAACCTCGTTTCGTCTCAACGTCTCACCGTCGTCTGAGACCGAGACAACGAGCCACCGCACTGAATTCGTAGGTTTCCCGATGGAAGCACTTCCACTACAACACCCACCTGGACAGGGATGGTGGAGAGTGTCTCGCTCTCTTGGGCGGAGTTTAAGTGAAGATACAAAAGTGGCTGGTCTACTAGACATCTCGAGCTGGGGCCACCTCAACCTGCTCCTTCGAACTCCTTTCGCCATAATTTAGAAAAAAGGAGAGTCAAGGGGATGAGGATGAGTATGAATCCCACCGAATTCTATGGCTATCTGGGGGAAAACGATTTCTGTGAATGAGAGAGAAAAAGAGAGTCATTTAATGTTCTTCCACCAGTAACGTAGCACTGCATGTGTGTGAATCCAGAACAGCAGAAGCTGTTCCCGCCTTTCCGAGAGTGGCTTCCATTTGCGGAACCCAACCTCCCTGGCCCAAGCAAAGCCGCATTGCCTTCGAGAGGCCTCAATGGATAAAAGGAAGGACAGGCCAATGGGATCGACATCGCCTTGTCAGTACGATAGGATACGATAGGTGTATAATGGTGTATGATAGGTGTACGGTGTAGGTACCAGTAGGTACCATACGGGATAGGCGCCGTAGGTGTGTGCACATGTGTGCACCTACGGGTACCACAGCTGATTTCCTCTCTGTCCTGAGCATCCTGCTGCTAATCAATCGCACCTCTGAGCCCACTGAAATGGACCTGATCAAGTGCATCGCTAGTAACAAGAAGCTAGTAGCTAAGGGCATTTGCTAGGAACCCACTAGTAACAAAGGGCATCGCTACTAGGAGCAAGGACGCTACTAGGGGCTCCTGGCCGTACTACTAGTAACAAAAAGCTACTAGGAACAAGGGCATCGCTACTAGTAGCTATTTTGCACCTTCGGTGCAGCGACCAAGTCCTCGGCGCATCGGGGCCTTTTGGAGTCGGCATGGTGAAAAAACCGGGTGTAGGACAGGTCAGCGAATCGACGGTCCGGCTATGACCGGAATCGATAGCGATGTGTCGCACTTCTGACTTCTGACAACAGATTCCCTTTGACAACGATGCAAACATGTTGGACCAAAACCAAAAAAGGAAAAGCACATGGGGAGGTTAGGCATGGAAACGCTTGAAGCGGAAGGGTGTGAACATGCCACTCTGTAAAGCCGCAACTGTGAATCCTGGGACAATGAGGGTCATATGGGTCATATGCTGGAGCGGAATGTGTGCTTAAGGGAGTCGGACGGTTTGGTGTCGCCAACTCATCTGCAAACCAACCCTGCTTACAAGGAAAGCATATTTGTGAGGTATATTGAGATATGAAAGCATGGTCTGTTCTGTTGCAAAAGCTGCTATAGCTGCTGGACTGCTGCTTGAGAGTTTTGGACTCTACACTACATAGTTGAGCCTGGCAATGCTTGCGGCTGTAGGTGAGCTTCACATCAGGGTACGTTGTCTATGTCAGAATTCTCACCTTCACCATCCCTTGCAATAGCCGTCATTGAGCTTACACAAATATCCAGTATACACAAGAATGCAATGCTCTAAGGGTTCCCAAGCCCTGCTAACAAATGCGTCTTTAGATGTCTTTAGTACATACGCAAGGGTCATTTTCCCTCTGTTCTGAGGTTTGGCGATGCACCTCAGCCAGTCGGAGTGTGAATTTGCTGGCACTTCCCATGTACAAATCACTCAAATCACCATCTGAGTGGAGGGACTCCTCTTTTGACTTTTTGACTGCTGAAATGGAGCATTTTCGGAAACAAAGGCCGGTAGCCTCGCATCGTGAGCAGCGTGCCGGTTTCGGCACGTACACGTGGCGGCAGACTATTTTACATTGATGACTGTCCAGCCAGTCTATCACTTCCTCTTACTTTTCTTTTCTGACTCATTTTGAGTCTTCTTCTTAGTCGTGGAGCTCTGTTGCCCACTCTCTGCAATCTTCTTCCTTTTTATTATTTCCATAGCTTCTAGGGCTTTCTCCTTTGCAGCGTTACGCTTTTCCTCGGATAGAGAAGCCCTCTCAGAGGAGCCGGATGGAGAATCTCGCCGTGTGTGGCCTTTGTGACCAGAGGCATCTCCTTGTGACTTTGGCTTTGGAGGATCCTTGCTTGCCTTTAAACGAGCTGGAGCCCCTTTTGATGCCTTTGAGTCTTTTGCATCTTTGGCTTTTTTTGAGTCTTTTGAGTCTTGATTCTTCTTCTTGCCTGAAGCTTCTTTCTGCTTCGGAGAATGAGAATGATCTCTGGGAGTAAGGTTAACCTTTCTCCTCTTGAGCGGAGAAGGACTCGGAGAAGGGTTTCTTCGCGTCCCTCTACCTCTGGAACGTGACCGTTTCGCCCGGTGTCTCGAGCCTCTTGACTTTGAACGACTCCTGGAACGACTCCTGGAACGTCTTGAATGACTTGAAGAACTCTTTGAAGAACTCGAAGGACTATGGCGACTATGGCTTCTGCGTCGGCGAGATCTTTGCCGCCGTCGGCCATGCGCCTTTCTTGAAGGCTTCCGCTTACTTCTCCTTTTGCTCCTTGAGCTAGAAGAAGAGGAGGATGAATCAGAGCTCATCTGCCTTGGCTTGTTTGCCTTCTTCATCTTGGACTTGGATCGTCTCTTCGGCTCCTCAATCTGACCTTTCGCCTCAGAAGTGACTGAGTCAACCTGCTTTTTCACAGGCGCTTGTGGTGCATTGCTTTGTGGCAAGTGAGCACGGCCCTTCCCTTCTGTAGTTGTCTCGTGTGAGGACTTTGTCTCACTGCTCTTTTCATTCGAGTGAACCTGCCGTTTCTCTTCCGAAATAAGCTGCTGTGCAGACTTCGCAGGCGCACCTTTTTGCGGCAAGTGAGGTTTGTCTTTTGCTTCAGAAGTTGGCTCCGGCCTCAATTTTGTCTCACTCTTTTCATGCGAGTGAGCCTGCCGTTTCTCTTCTGAAGCCAGCTGCTGTGATGGCTGCTGTGACTTAGCAGGTACACTTCGTCGCGGCGAGTGAACCCCGCCATTTGTTTCAGAAGACGGCTCCGGTGCTGACTTCGTCTGCAAGTGACTCTTTCCTTTCTCCTCTGAAGTTGGCTGCTTGGATGTCTTCTGCGCAAACTTAGCAGATGCACATCTTTGTGGGGAGTCTGCATGAGCTTTTGCTTTCGAAGCTAGCTCCGGTGTCGACTTTGTCTCGCTCGATTGCCCTTTCTCCTCTGAAGTTGGCTGCAATGGCTGTGAAGACTTCGCAGTTGCACTGCTTTGCACCTGCAAAGAGGGCTTTGAGACGTGAATTTGACCTTGAGAAGACTGAAGTGGCAAAGGCAGTTTTTTCTTCTTCCCTGGCAGTGTCCTCTTTGCTTTTTCACCTTGCTTTACTTCCACGACGGATCCAGTCTCACTTTCCGACCCATCTTTGGGCTGCCTGCTGCTTTGCTTCGACTCACTTTCATCTGAGCTGGACTCGTTTGAGGTACTGATTATAACAGATGGACTTCTAGACACTTTGGTCACCCGCTTTTCCTTCTGCCCCTCCAGCTTCTGCAGCTTCTTTTCCTCCTGGATTTGCTTCTGCTTCAGTGTCCCTTTCAAAAAATGAAGTTTCTCACCCTGATGAAGCTTCTCATCCTGATGAAGTTTCTCATCCTGATGAAGTTTCTCATCCTGATGAAGTTCCCCACCCTGAAGGGGGCGAAACCGCAGGAAACAAAGCTCTTTATATAATTCTTAGTGAATACTCGTGGACAATGTCAGGAGATTGTGATTCATTATCGCGAAACAAAAAAGGATTTGAGGCCAAAGCAGCCAAACCCCAATGTGCCTCGTATAATCTCTGGAAGCGCGCTTCAAGTGGATCTACCGGGTCCTCCAGCTCCGATTCTAAGTTGCACAAACAAAATCAAACAAAGGCAAATAACTAAGGGAATTCAACATAATATAATTGAACCAAATCCTTCCGTCGTATGCTGATATGTAGGGTCGGATAGACAAGAAATGCTGCCTAAAGGCCTCAAAAAGGCAAATATGATTGGCTTCATGGTTTCAATGCAAACCCCATCAGCGGATTCGACGCTGCTAACGGCGCCCAACGCGACCTTCGCCTTCTCAGCAGCCTTCTTCGTCTCAGCGTCTCTCGTTTCCTCCACCCAGTGCAACTTCTGGGTTTCGAGCCAGTGAAACGCCCAAACAATTTGTGATCGGCCCTGAGTTGAGGTAGCTTTGTGCCGTGCTACTACTTTTATAGCGCTTGGAACTGTGGCCACTCAGGCCTCCCAAGAAATTGACATAGAATAAGTTGCATCCTGACATACATTGGGTAACATGGGACAGGCAGCACACGCTCATTGTTTCAAGGTTCCAAGTGCTCTTCGGTTTGGAACCTAGTACTAGGGCAGAATGTTGAGTATGCGGGCTTCACATTTTGCTGTGACACGTTTAGGCATCCTTGCCAATGGCGAAGGGAAGACAGCAATAACACCGAAAGTCCACGAACCGCAAGGAACGGTCAGATCTACTCAAGACAGAATGAGCTCCAGAACGAGCAAACAAACAACTTCAACTTGCTCTATCCAAGCTGATTTGGTATGTCTTTTTTTAGTTACAGCCCGGTGCAATTCTTCGAAATGTCTTGCACACCAACGAGACAAATCCATACGATGGACGACAAACCGCTAAGGACGTTATGCATGTCCGAATCAAAAACGGCGCACCTCTTTCAAGGACATCTTCGACTCTGCATACTTCACGATATCGTTGTTGAATGGATAAGGCTGCTGGCCGCTTGAGTCGTCTCTGGTGTTTCCACGTTTCAAGGAGTAAGTCTCCAAACTAAACGGCCAATGGACCGCCAAATCACCAACGATGAAAAGCATCTAATTCTCTGAATGTCTCCAAGTGCAACTGCTTGCTGTATATGTGTATGCCAAGAAAATATAGTACAAGTACAGAAAGCATAAATGAAGCCAAAACTTGCTGTTTCCTCAATTATATAAGGCAGCTGCAAACAACATGTCCGTCTGAATGCAATACAAGTTGACTCGAGTAACCACAGCATGTCAAATATCAAGCCAGTGAAGCCATACAGGGTGGTAGCCAGTCACAATCAAGGGCAAACCAGCCACTAATGATCTAATGAACATGTAAGATACTGTCAGGTCCACTGATTGGGATGCCCACCTTGACCTCTGGCACCACCCCCAACTACAAGTGTCTTTTCAGAAAGTCTCAAAGTGCGCCAGGAAAGGCCTGCTTTTGAGGGATGTCGCTGACACTATTTGCCCGCTTGTGCTGCGGTTCGATCAACGCCTGAAGAGAACCAATTGAACGACGCAGGACATCTAACTCCGACTGCCAGCTTTAAACCAATCAGGCGAAGCGTCTAGGGGACTGTAGCAATGCCAAGGTAACAAATACTGTAATGATCTGATAGCTAATGATATACTATCCTGCCAAGCTTACGATCATTGTGTGCTCAGCGAAACTGTGGGAACCCACCGCACTTCCCAAGACCCCGCCTCCCCTGCAGCGTGTCCGCTTACAGCATGCGCCAGCGCTTGCTGCGGTTCAACCGGGCGTACCTACAGTGAAGCAAACACAGCCGACAAACATGACATGCATGACAATCTGTAGAATGAATCATCAGAGTCGCAAGAAAACTCAAGAGTCAGGTGTGAACATGGTGGCACTTCATTCACAAAGGACGACTTGCAGCATTCGTCAAGACCCCGCCTCCTCTGCAGTGTGTCGGCTTGCAGCATTCGCCACCACTCGCTGCGGTTCAGCCGCGCGTACCTACAGTGAAGCAAACACAGCCGACAAACATGACATGCATGACAATCTGTAGAATGAATCATCAGAGTCGCAAGAAAACTCAAGAGTCAGGTGTGAACATGGCGGCACTTCATTCACAAAGGACGACTTGCAGCATTCGTCAAGACCCCGCCTCCCCTGCAGCGTGTCCGCTTACAGCATGCGCCAGCCATCGCTGCGGTTCAACCGGGCGTACCTACGGTGAAGCAAACACCGCTGACAAACATGACATGCATGACAATCTGTAGAATGAATCATCAGAGTCGCAAACAATAAAAAGCTCCATCGGGAGCTAGGGATCGTAGGGCTAGGGATGCGGTGACATTGATGTGATGGGACGATACTCGACAAGGTCATGCGGCTTGACATTTTTGGGAGGGCAGTGAGAGTACATCAGAGTATTATTGAAGGGCACTGTTATAAAGCAACGATGAAAACTCAACAGCAAACCCTCTTTCCTAGATTGGTTGATGCACTTACGACAATCATGGATTAAGTGTCTTTTCACAAAGTCTGCCAGGAGAAGCCTTTTCTTGAAGGATGCCACTGGCATCATTGGCGGGCTTGTTCTGCTCTTCAATCAACGCCTAAAAAGGAAACAATTGAACGACGCAGAACACCGACTGCCAGCTTTAGACCTATCAGGCGTAGCTTCTAGTTGGACTGTAGCAAAGTACAGTCATCGACAGAATTATAGAACGGAATGGAGGAGGAAAATTATCCTGGGATTTAACTGCACAGGATTTTTCCAGTTTTGTTTTGGGGGAAGGGGACAAAAAATGTTGGACCGGATTGATTCATTCCCGGATATTTTTGAACTCTTCTGGAACCCCAGGTCACTCAAGAAAAAGAATATTGAACAGAATGATTTGTGAATCTGGACTTGACCATCGATCGCCGCTTGCTCCAGTCGCAGCAGGGGTTGTGCCTTGCAAGCCTGTGGGCACATACAGTGATACATACGTACATACTGTACATGTATTTGCATAATACCTGCTTAGATGTGAAGAAGTTGAGTTTCCTACAAGAGCTTTGGCGCTGAATGCAACCTCCGTTTTCTCCATCAGGTATGATAATCAGGCAAGATTGTTCTAAAATTTGGTTTTCCTTCAAGGGTTGAGGCCCTTGTCCAGGCTGGCCTACATACCAACAGGCACCAACTGCATCTTCCACCAATGGATAGCACAACTGGCGCACAACCCGAAGGGGCACAGGGATGCTGTAATTATGGAACAGGGATAATCTACAAATACACAAAGCGATGGCCCAAAGGAAAAGGACACTTATGTAAAGGATCTGTCTGGTTCTATAGTTACCTAGTCCTGCAGGAGTGCCCCCTAAGTGTCCTTTTCCCTCAATTGTTTGCTCACAACTCATTGTGTGTACATATCCCGTTCCTAGTCCTTTTCTTTGAATCCTCCTTTGATAAACAAAACAAAAGCGCATCTGGAGGGAACAGGAGAAAGAGAATCACATAAAAGGAAGATTCAAGCACACAAGACTCAAAGGAACATGTTCTGCACAGGCAAGAGGAAAAGGGCAAAAAAAACCTTTCGATGAATATGTAGTAAAATTAAACGGTCCAGGAATCTGCTGAAACGGAAGTGGATAACCATCTTTGGAGCATGCACAAAAACACACTCTGAGGAAAGGGACAAGGCCTTTAATAAGAGGATTAGTTATATTAAAAGCTCTTTGTTCAAAAGAAAGTCGTCCAACAAAATAAGCCTGAGAAGGGGGGGACGAATGCCAGCAGCCGCCAGACGTGTGTCTCTTGTGTCTCTTTTTCTGGCGGGCGTCGCGGCACAAGACACATGGTCGGCAGCTTGCGAGGCAGCGGTGCCGCGGATGCGGGGGGCGTATGTAATGGTGACTGAGGGAGCAGAGAAGCAAGCCGGGCGGCTTTGGGATAAGTTTGGTATGAAAGAAGTAGTGAAAGAGACATGCGATACGTTGTATGTTGGTGTAGGTCATCATCACTCACGAGGCAATGGCATGTGTTTGTCACACGCAGGAAGGCATGCGTCTTATGGAAGTTGGAAGGCGACATCAGCGTTAGCGAAGGGGAAATACCGTCTGAGTTCGAGTGGTGGGGATACCACATGCGCGCGCGCGTGCGCCGCGTGCGCGCAGGAAGACCTTCTCAATAGTGAGCGTCGCCGCGCGCGGTTTGAAAAGAAGCAATTATGTGTTTGTTACATTTGAAGTGTTTGAAGTTTGCATTGCATACAGCGGCGCGTCAAGAAGCGGCCTTCGTTGATTTGGAAGAGTGAACGGGCACGTCTTGGCCGGGACACGGACGTTTGATCCCGCGGCGCAGGAGATCGCAGAAGGGGAGGTCCAGCAGGAGTAGCTTGGGCTAGCAAGGGAGTGAGGATTTGTGCGCCTATCGATGCACATGCCTGGACTTGAGCGAGTCATGTTCTGGCTCAATCCACAACACGGTCTTTTTCCTTTAAAAGGGATTTTTAATGATCCAAACACCACCTTCTTTATTCTTCTCTTTCTTATCAACTCTGCGTCTTTCTCACTCAAAGGCCTTGACTTTGGCACCTCCTCGCAGGCACCCCCGCCGGAACTCAATCCAAATTCATGGGCTTATGGGCTTGAACTCATGTCACTTTCGGTTCTCTATGGATTTCGCGAGTTACGGGTTGTCCTGGGAACTCGTATCCTACGCGCGGCTGCGGTCTGCTCTGTACATGGGTCCCTGTCTCCACTCCAGTTCTCAATGCACATTGTCCAAATACCATCCACAGCCCTTCATGATGCTAATGATGCACTACTCGGCGTCCATTGCATCACTCGCATCACCAGATCCCATTTTCACTGCTTTTCTAACCCTCGCTTTGGAGCGCTCTCCCCCACCAAGCTCCGGGTTCACCCTCTCAAGTTGTGCCTTTTAGCAGCCTCCCCCCCCACACCCCCTCAACTCACTTCGTTCGCTCTAAAAGCTCAAGCCTAGCCTATCGGCTGGCTTTCGTAACATAGAACAAAGGAAACTTGTCCGCGCCAAGTGATGCAAAACGATCCTCCAAAGGAAAATTCGCTAACTGCACCAGATACTCCTCAATTCTGTTTTATAATTCTGTCGACGACCGTACTTGTCTCCATACTATTAACTATATTGCATTATAGTGCTAAAGTGATATAGTATATATATATATATAAAGTATAAAGACAGTAAAATTATGTTGCAAAGCCCGCGGTCATTGTGCATTCAGCGAAACTGTGGCACTTCCATCACAAACGATGACTTGCCGCATTTGTCAAGACCCCGCCTCCCCTGCAGTGTGCTGGCTTGCAGCATTCACCGGCACTTGCTGCGATTCAACTGACGCCTACAGTGAAGTAAGCCAAGTCGACAAACATGACACCCAAACGTTTGAACCAATCGCAAAGCCAAGCTCAAGTCAGGTGTGAACATGGTGCCCTCAAACCATTGGCAGCTAGGGATCATAAATGATCGTAGGCTAGGGATGAGGTGACTTTGATGTGATGGGACGATGTTAGACAAGGTCATTCGGCTTGACATGAGACAACCTACTGTAACGGGCATCTGGTACTGTGTCCACACGGACCGGAAGGATGAAGACAAATGGATGGATGGACAAACCAATGGATGTTCGATGATGTTCGTCTACAATAAGGGACAGGCAGTTAGAATAGGCCGGTTTAAATAACTATAATGCAGTTAGAATATGAAAATTTTAATTATTTGGGAGCATTGCAGTAAGAATATGCCGCCACAGTTAGAATATGCAAGAGACCACAAGTGATCCTGTCAACTTGATCCTCCTAAAGAATGAAGGATTGCAGTATACTGTGGTACAGTATGTGCACAGCATCACATACAGTAGTCACCGCACACAGCTTTGAGGGCATGCTGGAGCAGAGGTTCACGCATGGCGTCTCCGTACAATAAGTATTCTATCTGCACGTGCCATATTCTATCTGCAAATGTCAAAAACCCTGCTCTCTGAAAGTGCAAAAAAATAATTCATAAATCCCATAGCTTCAATATTCTAAGTGCTGGTCTCCTAGTGTACATATCTAATCATTTCCCATCGAACGCGACCGGCGTTCGGCGACCCGGAGAATCCCACGACTAGGAAGAAGAAGCTACTAGGGGCTCCTGGCATCGCTACTAGGAGTAAGGACGCTACTAGTAGCAACGGGCATCGCTACTAGGAACAAGAAGCTATTAGGGGCTCCTGGCCTTACTACTAGGAAGAAGAAGCTACTAGGAACAAAGGGCCACCTAGTAGCATCCTTGCTCCTAATAGTAATGGCCTCCAACCTAATAGCGATGGCCTCCACCTAGTAGCTTCTCGTTACCAGTAGATTCTTTGGAAGTCTTGGAGAGTCTTTTGAGTGACTCAGCGAAGGTCAAGGAGCTTCCACGGCATGACTCATGACTAGAGATCTGAGGCAACATGAGTTTGAGCAGCTCCGTTTTTGATGCTGCCGATATTTTAAAACACAAGCACACAACTTTGCAAGAGCTAGAATATCCTCAGTCTCGTCTAGTTTAGACTCAATCAAAACACATCAAAAAAAACCTGATGCACAGTGCAGCATCCTGGCAACCATTGATTGGAAGAAATCACTGCCAAATGATGCCAATGAGCCTCTGCCAAAACATCCTGTTAAGAAGGACATGATTCAGCAAGCTTATCGCTTTTTCCGGCACAAGCCACAGTTTCAACATAGCTGAACGTATCCAAAGACTGCGGACATATGCTTGTGGCTTTTGCAGGTTTTAGCCTTAGTCAAATTCCTGAAATTCACGGTTGCTCGGGACTACATTGGTTATCAGGCGTCTTGGCAGTTGCTCAAATGTGTTCCGCTGGTGGCAGGGCCTTCTCTACAGAAGCCATGGGCGCGTGCTGCAGTGCGGACGGCCCCTGGAAACATCAATGGTGCACAACAAGGAACTCTTCGACTACAGTATGTGGCAACAGCTTGTTCTGACATCTAGAATATTCTAGAATAGCTTGTCAACTGCTCAATTCATAGCAGCAGCCTCATCACTGCATCTGCGTCAAAATATGAGAATCGCAGGCACTTCACTGCTGCCAAGGAGCAGGAGCAGCAACCGGAGCTGAAGTCGTCGAGCTTGGGTCCAGCCCCAGCCGCTTTTGCAGCGCTACCATCAGCGACTGCAAAGCTCGTTGCGACATGGAACAGAAGCAACCAAACGAATAAAAGCAAACGAATAAAGCTGTTGTCTTTAAGCTGAGGTGAGAAAAAAGGAAACAGCTATATAAACACAACCAACGTAACTAGGGTTCTGACGGAACCAACCAAAACCGCAAGTCAAAAATTTCTACATGAAACAACGGAAGAACAACACAAATGAATACAAATGAGGCAGCAAATTGGACTTATCTCAGCAAGGCTCATGACTCATCACAGTCAGGCCCTCCAGGAAATCATACATATTTCTTCATTCGTTACACTAAAGTGAGCACAGGACGTTAATTTGCCAAGCTGTGTGGACGTCCAAAGCTCTGATGGCACGTGCGCCTGCGAGAGATCCTGCGGCCAAAACTCAAACTCTGCATGTGACCTGTTTTAGACCTGATGAGCAGCAAGTTGAACCTCATGCACGTTCCTTCTCACACAAAACCCACATTGGATAATGTGCATCAAAATTGTCTTGTGGGATGGAACAAGTTTCATGCGCCAAACAACTTCCTTTTTTATTCCTTTTTTGAGCTCTTCAAGCCTGCGTGTACGAGTCCTACACGGATGCACTCATCTCCCACATGCAACTCAAAGTACCATGCACCGAGGCAAGCTGCGCTAAATGGAGCAACAGCACAAGCAAAATGCTCTGCTACGAAACATGTTTCGGACGGCTCCGCAGGCATGCTTCTGCTTGGGTTTCACTTTTGCGGCTGCAAAAGATTGAGTCTACACTCAAGCAAAACAAGAGTATACGTTCCACACAAAATCTTCGACCCTGTGAGATTTTCTCGAAACTGCTGAATGGATGCAGGTGAGAAAACGACGACAATGATTGACAATGTAACTGTTGAACCCTTGGGAATCAGATGACAATGTGATGAAAACGATGAGGATGTTGTGAAACCAAACGTGCGAAACATGAATGAAGAATTCCCAAAGCCGTGCAGAACATGTTGCTTGTGCTGTCGGTCCATTTAGCGCAGCTTGCCTCGGCGCTTCCTACTTTGGATTGCAAGTGGGAAATGGCATCCGTGCTGGACTTGTGCATGCAAGCTTCAAGGCCCGAAAACAGGAATGTGTGGAACTGATGGCAAAATACATGTGATTAAATCCCTATGTCATATATAATATACCTATCCTACGCTCCTGCTTACGCTTTTCTTACTCGACCACAATGTAAGCTTACGTGCGACGGATTTTGAGAAGACCTTAAGAAGATCTTGCGCGTCTGCGTTGAGCAAACATGAGAACCATACCCCTAACAGAAATGCTTGTGCGACGGTTCCTTTTGCAAATGGCCGGTGACTTGCGCATGATCAAAATGATTCCCGAGCAGAGGAAGCCAATGATGAAGACCATGAAGATGAGGAGGAGGTGCAATCTTAGCTCGTCGTCTTCTCTTGGCATGGGTTTAAGCAAACGATACTTGCATCTACTTACAGGCAAATGAAAAGTTGGCTTAGGCAAACCTTACGGGCAGCTTACGCGAACCTTACACGCCAAAACTCTCACCAAACGGAGCGTTGCGGCCGGAATTTTCATGAAACTGCAGGTGGAAACATGGCTTACTAATTACACATTTGATTCTAATAGCTTCTTGTTACTACTAGTAAGGCACTTGTTTCTAGTAGCGATGCACTTGTTACTAGCAGCTACATAAAGGAAGTTCTTAGGAAGTCCACTTGGCGACATTGCCAAGGATGGTGGGGAACGTTCATCCGTTGCTACTTATATGCCTGAAATATAGTGCACGCAAATGCCAGTTCCTGAGGGTTTCAAAGCTCTCTCATGTTCCTTAAAGTTCCTCTCTTGACGGGGAGGTGTGTGCTAGGAATATCATAAGTGCAAATACGACCCTATGCAAAGCTTACGCAACATGCATGTCTCTCAGCTTCCTTGCACAACCTTACGCTTTTCAGGTTTTGCTTGCGCCCAAGTTCCATATGACAAGGCCATGCCATTACTTAGTTCATCTTGGGCGGTTTCTTGCGGTGCTCACCTGTTTTCATGCCAAAAGGCAGTTCCAAAAAAGGGGCTGGTCTTCTAGAATTTGTCAGGGACTTCTCAAACCCTTAGGCCCTAAGACTTAGAAAACACCAGCAAAACACACACCAATCCTGCCTGACTACTCTGCCCTTGCACAATGTCGTTGCCGTTCGAATGCCCTCCACTTTGTAGGTCCTGGAAACCACAGCCAAAGAATGCCAAAACGAACACGATGTCAATGATGTCAACGCGTGCCGTCGAGTAGAACGCGTCCCGCAACCGCCTCCGCTCTTTCAGCGCTTTCTGGGCGGTGCTTTCTGGGCGGTGGTAGAACTTTTCTTGGCTGCTGAGGTGCCTGCAAAGTGCCAAGCAAAAGGTCTCCAAACAAGGCTTAATCATCTCAATTTAATGGATCTTTTTGTTCATAGGAACTTCACACAAGCCATTGACAAGTCATAGTCCGTTCAACACCTACAACGCGGTCTTTCATTGGGCAACAAGCCATGCCCAAGTTGTGCTGCCTCATTCGCAGAACAGCTGTTGCTCCAGGGAGATGCAGGACCCTGCAAGTTCTGCATGATCTTATGTGATGTTCGATGCTCCCTCCTCTCATGTCTCATGACATCTCATGACAAGCATGAAGGGCGGAGCGGCGGTTCCGCCTGGTAATGCTGTTGTGTCTTGCCATGGGCGCTTGGATACTCGTTGCCTTCCTGCGGGTAGTCCTGGATCCAAAGCGACAAAGCCAACAGAAAGCAATATGCGAAGAGCTAGCATCCTGACAGCATGCTTTGCAATGAAGAGTCAGTTTTGGTTGCTTGTCAATTGAATGTGCAATGTGGCTATGAACAACATTCAGTTTGGCTTCACCGCTGTCGCCTCAGCCGCTTCAGCCTGGTTGAAAGGCAGGAAAGCCACAACCGCAAAGTGCTGAAAGAGCAGAGGCAAATCAACTGGGAAAAACGCATCGCGCTTTGCTGCCTGATTGCCCCAAGAATAGATGTTTCCGATGTTGCCGCCCCAAGATCCAGCACCCTGGAAGCTGTGCAAAATGCTCTGTGATGTTATGGCCCCCCCTCCTCTCATAACAAGCACGAAGAAGGACTTAGACACATAGTCTCACAATCATGCCTGCCTGCTGGTGAAACTGTTCGGTATTGTCATGGCCGCTCAAGTACCCACTGCCATCTTGCGGATGGGCCTGAAATCAAAAGCATACTGTTACTCGATGTCAACATGCGAAAAGTGCAGACCTCCTACCGAGCTCGACAAAACTCCCCTTCTCGAATCATCTGCCTCCGCTCTTTCAGCACTGTTCAGACCCGGCTTTGTTGGCAGTGGACCAGGTTGAAGTGTCTGAATCTCCTGCAAAGTGAAGCCAAACATAACATCTCAAAACGAGGGCTCAAATTACAGTTCTGTGCTGCCTGGTTCACAGGAGAGCCATTGCTCAAAGCGGTCGCAGGGTCCTGGAAGGCTTTCACAATGACATGTGATTCCATATTATTAGCGCCTCCTCTCGTAGCAAACATGAAGGACAGTTCTATACTTTGCACTACTCTACAATTTTAGAATAGCAACATCAGGTCTCAATCATGCTGGCCTGGGACTGAAGCTGTTCGGT